ATATATATAAAATACTTCCAGGAAACTGGAAAAAAAAAGATATTGTAGAATTTGGTGTGGAGTTATATGCCATTTAAAAAGAGCAATACAGTAAGAAAGTACTTTTTTTTAAAAAAATTAGCCCTCTTTTAAGTTGGTTCCTAAGATGTTGTCACTGCAACACTGGAGGTGGCATTTAATATGTGAAGGTTTTCTGCCAGTGGTTTCCCACCTCCTCTTTTTTCTGCCAGCCCTTCATCATTTTTACTGGTCAATGTATCATTAATCCCTTTGGAAGAAGCAAGAGATAAAATGAGAACCAAACCTCTTTGCTCTTTCCCCCCACCTCTGGATTTGATATGAAGTGGGAGGTTCACATTTTTAATAACTGAAGTTTATTAACTTCCCACAGCTTCATTTGTCCCTTTCACATTTGTTACCTCGCATAAGGCAGAATTGGCCTGTAAAAGCCACATTAGAACACTGAAGTCTAAATCTGTTCAACTAGCTTACACTAGATGGAGGTATTTTCATATGCAAATGCACTGTAATGTATGATTTATCCATGAATGATAGAGCCAAGGGTTTGAAGGTATTTAGTTTTAATAGCATCGTTAGTTGTTGACTGATTCAAGTTTGCTTACCCGTGATTTCTCCAAATTTGTCAAGTATTTTTCCACCATGAAATAAGATGCCCTTGCAGTCACCCTTCCCTGAAATTGTAACAACCAGACTCTTAAAACTCAACAGTTTAAGCAAACGGTATATCATCTTCCATTTACTGTGTAGCTTAACTGCAGACTTACGCTTTTGAGTCAGTGGCCAACTTTATTGCCACCTTCAAGAGTTTATTATAATGCTGTAAATTTTTATCTCAGGGTTAGCATACTTATGAGTTGCTTCACAATTATGATTCAGGAAAGAAAGAACTTCGATAGCTACCGATTAGAATTTAACGACGTAGCAGTCAATGGGTACTGATATTGGGGAATGATATCACAGCAGTTACACAAGGGCTATCTCGATGCTTTTCCAGGATAATTGTATGAAGAATATGTAGGCAATGAGACCTAATGCCATTGTAGCTCACTCAGGACTAAGGAACACCCTCCCTTC